TGTACCTGGAGACGAGGATCGAGCGGGAGCTGGCGCTGGCCCGGCAGCACGGCACCAAGAACAAGCGAGGTGAGTCCCGACCTCCTGGTGGCCGGGCCCGCTGCCCTCCGCCCGCCGCCGGGTGGCTTGCGAGGCTTTAAATTCCAAGGTCCGAACGCCTCTAGGTCCTGGGTTCTGTTACGAGGTGTCGCGGGGGCCGTTGCTGGTTGTGCTCTGCCGGAATGCAGCGTGTTTGGTGGTTCGGTGGTGGGCTCAGAGCAACCATTGCCATGATCGTGTACGCTGGGACGGAACGATTGCTTTCTTGGGCATCTCTTGGTGTTTAAGGCGTTGTGGATTCACTGTGGTGGGATGATAAGAGGGTGCTTTGTTCCTCACTAATTTAGTGTCTGTGGTTCCCTGTGTCATACTTTCGTTTGTGCTTAGCAACACAGTCGATGCAAGCATCAACTGGATACATGCTGTGTGAAGTACTTCTGTTCAGTGTGGGAAGGGGATCACAGCTTGGGTCTTGAACATTGGTTGTGCATATAGTAAACGAGCTGAAGCATGTGAGGATCTTCAGTACATTCATGGATGAAAACAGGTTATATTCACTGTGAGAGTTAGCAACTGTTGGCAACTGAGGAACAAAGTCAGTGGTTTGCCTCAAATCACATAGGAAGTATGTGATACCACTAAAAAATGAATGATAGCTCAGAGTATTTGTGACTACTGGTCTGGGCTGCTGTTAGCTGTAGAGGAGAGGATACTAAGGGATAATAAGGTCTGGATCTTGCTTATACTGATGTTGGTATCTCTGGGAAGGAAATAATGGTAGCCAGTGTCTTGGGGGTATACAGGCATTTCAGAAATAAGTTAATTACTTCCTAAAGTCACCTGGAGTCCTTTTTGTCTACTCTGAGCTTTATTTTTCTTTACATCAAAACAGGAGGAAAACATTTTGAATTAACAATTCGTGGTATAACAAGAGTAGCTCTTTCATCTGCTTTTTCCATTGCTCAATACTTTAACAAATGGATGTGGTGTAACTTAGAACTTGTGTAGAGTTGTGTGTTAAACGTGTTTTGGTTAGCCCTTTAGTGGGCTAACCAAATACTTCTAATAATTTAGCATTTCATAATTATTAGCAAAAGGCAGATTAACTAAACTAACTTTTAGTTAGAAAGGATCTAAAAGCATGAGTCAAGATGGGACAGATCTGAAGGCACGGTCAGACAGAGGGAGTAAAGCCAGTTCAGCAGCATAACTGAGCCTGCTGCTCTGCAGCACAGTAGCTGTCAGGGCTGTCCCAGTCCCACACTTTCTACTCCCCTGGCTTCTATTGGAGTGTCTCTTGTCCCTTTGTGCAGGTACTGGCACCTGTGTGTAGATGCAGTGAGGGAGTTCAGGAAGGTGATCCAGCTGAGAATTAATTTGCTGTGGGACAAAGTGACAAGATAGCTCCCAGGACTTGGTTCATCATGCACATGCCTGGGCAGCAGGGTGGATGCAAGAAAACAGGGCAGCTCCTGTGACTGTAACAATTCCTGTTTAGATCCAGACACGCTGCTGTCGAATGCCATTCTAAGCCTGGACTTTAAGCTGTCATAGTTGTAGGAAGAAGAAATGCTCCCTACAGAGCATTTCCTTGGCAGAGCTCCCTGAAGGATGTGTTTCAGATGTATAGTGTTGTGGGGTTTTGTGGCTGGGTTATTTTTTTACCCTAGGTAGGTTAAGTTCCGTTTACCTGTTTGACTCGGCAGCTGCAGAAGTGCTCAAATACCTGTGAAGGAAAGGGTAGTGCACAGGCAGGAATGAGTACTTGTTGGGAGAAGGCAGATGTGCTTCTCCTTTAACTTGGCTGGTTGATGCTGGTTTCAGGTGTTTATTAGCCTTGTGCTTCAGGCGTGCACCATTTGTCATATGAAGCTTTTCTCCCGGATCTTTGTGTCTGCTGCTGTGCTCAGTGTGCAATTCCCCTAGTTCTTTACCTATGCGATTGTTTGTGGAGTCATGCTGCAAACTGGATTGTTGAGCTGATCATGGTTAAAAATAACTCCCTTTTATCTTGTTGTTTTCTCAGGACTGGATAGCTAAGGACAGTAAAGAGACATGAATAGGGCCAGAAGTGCTGAGTGGGATTCTTTTCATGCTGAAAATGGTTCTAAAGCCAAAATAGGATAGTGTAAATACAGTCAGAGGAGAAACAAGAGAAATTAATCTTGATGTGCTGAAGTGTTTGAATTTAGCAGGCTAGTGAATGAATTTAAATCCCTAAAAATACCTCTTCATTTGATGTCAGTTGCTTTACAGTTAATTGCTGTTGATTTACATGTGACAGTGTGTTAGCTGCTATACTGTACTACATAGTTCAAAGGAAATCTGTGCTAACCAGCATCTATTGTAGCATTATGTAAACATACACAGAAATGAGAGAATGAAAGTTTTAATCTATGTTGCTGTGTTAAAATGAATCTTTCAAAGGGACTTTGCAGGTAATTTTTAATGTTGATTTTTCTTAATCGCATCTATGGAGAAGCCTATGGAAACCAAAATGGAACTGTCCAAGGCCGGAGCCAGATGCATCTAGGTATAGAAAATGCACCAAATTAGCGTGATCTTGTTTGATTTTTAGGCGTGTGAGTCTGAGTCAGTTATACTGTCACAGGAGAGAGCAGATTCAAGCACCCGCAATTTTTCATGAGTTCATATGATTCTTGAAAGGGTTCACATGACATCAGTAGGCTTAACTTGATGTAAAAGCTGTAACATGCTAGCTATGCAAATAGATGTGAAACATCATTTAAATATTTTTGGCTTGTCTTTTATGAAGTGAGTAGCTCTGCAGTTCCTGCTGTGATACATCTCCAGCATTCTCCATTAATATCTTACTGTAGGCAGACCACTTGATGGTTTTCAAAACATGTATGTGTGTTGGAATTTCCTCCGCAGAAGTTATGTCATGATAAGCAATGTTTCTTTTCACAGTTACCACTGCCTTTTAATCTCTTCCCATTCCAGATACAAAGTCATTGTTCTTTTGGATATATCTCTTGCTGTATTTTTTTGGGTATCTCAGTTTCAGCCAGTGCACAGTTGCCAACTCCACCTGCAAACTGGCTTTTCATCTTCATTATTTTGAAGATCATACAGGAAAATTTAAAGGACAGAAAGTAATGCTGAGTATTTGAGAACTCTTTAAAAGGAAATGCGTTTCCTGAAGTGCACCTGTGCCCAAGAAAACGTACACGTGACTGGGTGGTGTTTCAGCCTGGAATCTTTCACAGAACCTAAAAAAAAAAATGGCTAAATGAGAAGAATAAAGTTGAAAGCAGCCATCCAAAGTAGGATTAAATCTTAACCATGAAGAGCCACATAGTGCCACTGGGGACAAAACCAATATAGAAAGTTGGAGTAACAGGTAGGCTTTTACAAGTAGATGCGGCTAAATATGTTGTGTGGTACATTTGGACAGGGCTTATGTAGCCATGTAGCATTCCTTTTCAGTGAGTTAGCTGTAACCAGAAGGCTGTTGAAAGCAAACAACAATATAGTAGTTGCATGTTAACACAGACAGGCCCGTCATGCCTATGGCAGGGTGCATGACAGGTTGGGGCTGAGGGTTTCTGGCAGAGATATGTGAGGAAGCCCTTAGTGTGTCTTTGTTCTGGGAATTACAGCTGTTGTTCTCTGATCTTCATGATCACATTTCAAGTGTCTTGCCATGAACTGGAGTGGTTATAACAAGTCAAATGCATTATTGTTCTTGAATTAGCCCCCCAGTTGTAACTGTATGTGGCTCAAGGTTTTAAGGATTATGAATGCTGCTAATGAGCTTACTGAGGGTGGTATGATTTTTTATGGCCTCATCAGCACTTTTGGTTGTCCGTGGTGTAAGGGAGATCAAAAGTTGTAATCCTTGTAGGAATGAAGTTGAGATCTGTGAACTGTATCTGAGAACGAGATCCAGTATTTTCACAGTGGTGTTATATTACCTGAAGAAACACTCTTCTTCTTCACCAGTTCCCCCTGAGAATTTTAATGGTTAAAAGACAATGCTTTTATTTGTACTTCAAAAGATAAAATCGTCTGTAATTCCTATACTAATGAGTGTTGGTGGTGGGCTAAAGGTGTTGATATCACTGTACTGTCTCTTTTCATTCTGATCTGTCATGAAACCATGTGAGGAGGGTGCCACAAATCTTTCTCTGTCACTAATTTTGTTCTATCCTTTAGAAATCTGGATATTAAATGTGTTCAGGATTACCGTTGCCCAGCTGGCTATTTCTGCTTCCTTAATGAAGCATAGTAATGATATTGGAAAAGAGTCCTTCTGTATGTTAATAACAGTAGTTCTTTAATATGCATACTTAAACCGAAATATTAGTCTGCTGGTGTTCCACCCTTTATGTTGGAAATAAAACCTCAGATTAAAAGCAGTGTTTCCTAGTCTGTGAGCTGTATCCTGCTTGCTGGAAATGTGCTAAAGCCCAGCCAAGTGCTGACCATTTAATTTTGAAATGCAGGAATTGAATCAGCTTCTTTGGAGCACAGTATGAGATGCTTTTTTTCCCCCCCAGGAGAAGACCTCCACCTCTTTCTGGTATTAGATAGACTTGCTTCTTCAGATCCTGCCTCTGTTTAGACTCTTCCTCCCTGGGCTGTCTCCCTTTGAAATCTTTGGAATGGGCTACACCCTTTCTCAGTGCCATTCTTAGACCTTCATTGGAGTAAGTTTATGTTCTCTGCTCCATTTCTTTATATTTTGATATATAAGTTCTTTTTCAGTTTGGTTGTTATACTGCAGTAGCATTTATGTGAAGCATTTCAACCTTCTTGTAAGAGTTACACACAAATTTTAAATGCTTGTATGTGCAGTAGAAAAGCACTTAAAATTCATAATAATCTGTAAACCAGAAAAATAGATTTCAAATAAGAAGGAGATTCTCCTAGCTATAGAAGCTGTTATAGCAAAACTGCACAATGAAGGGCAGTCATTTAATGAGAAAAATCATATAGTGTGGTGTGGGAATTTATTATGCCTTTGTAAGGAAGGAATATGAATTGATTTCCTGTCAAGTGCTTTGTTCTGTAAGTCACTGATAAAACTAAAGAGAATTAATAAAGATGATATGCTGCACTACAGTAATTAGGAAAACCTGTTTATGAATAGGTGAAGTCACACAGTTTAGCTTCTTCCATGGCTTCTTATGTTTGGGTGTGGTTTAATTAAGTATTAATACAGGAACCTTCAGGATTTTGAAAACACCTTCTTTGTATGTAACTGAGGAAATCCATTTTCTCCCTGAGCAGTCAGTAATAACAGCACCATTACAGAATTCCATTTCTGAAAAACAACGACTGGAAATACTGCCCTGTAGTAGCTACTTGCACCACTGGAAGCCTTTCTGCACCGGCTAGTTAGTGTTCCTCAGTCCACAGCACTTTGAAGCTCTCCCTGGCACAGCCAGTGTTATGCACAGTTTTAGACTATTGAATTTACCTGGACCCTCTGGTTTCCTAACCTAAGAATACAGGATCAAATTTTGATTCAACTGAAGCTAATGAAGGAAGTGATTGGTGTCCTAATACATAATAAGCATAAATAAGTAGGGAAATGGTAAGTATGTAAAAAGATATTTGGGATTAAATCCAACTGATGTATTTTGGAATTGCTAATGAGAATCTTACAATTCTCACATTTGCAGTTTACATGACATCACCTGGTGTTCATGCTTTCAGAGTATGCATGATCTTTGGACCATCCTCCAAAACCTGGGAAGATCCTGAATTTGAATACTGTGATTAATCTGTTGTGCTTGTGGTTTGCTGTCCTGAAACATTTTACTGTAGGTGCTAGAATCATCGAATGGTTTGGGTTGGAAGATCATCTTAAAGATCATCTCGTTCCAGCCCCCCTGCCATAGGAAGGGACACCTTCCATTAAACCAGGTTGCTCTTAGCCTGTGTGAATGCTTATTCTCATACAGCTCACAATGAGCAATCTTGACCATGTTGATTCAGGCATTTGTCAACAAAGCACTAGATTATTTTTTTTAGTGCAAAGTTGTGTATCCCAGTGTCAAGGTTCAGTATTATTGTACAAGGGTAATTAGTCGAATAGGAAAGCAACAGTAATTACTGCTGTTGGTTGAGTTTGGGGGGCTGCAGTGCTGCTGTTGCTTGCTGGCTCTGAACCTGATTTAAAAATAGAATGTAAGAGAAAAGGGAAAGGACATGGCTGTTAATAGCATTGAAAAACCTATGGGTTACCTCAGTGTCTTGGTTTTGTTTGTTTGTCTTCTTGCCTGGCACATGTGTAGGTTGGAAAGGACAGTGGTCAGGAAATGCTTGTGGCAAGATTGTGTGTGTTCCACACCCAGAGGCCAAGCGAAAGTTCTTTTCTCCTTCTGCTTGTCACATGCATTCATTCAGTTAATGATTTACTCTGGGCAAAGTACGCTGCTCATAATATAGCAAATATAAAAGACTAATCTTGACGATTTACAAAGTTAATGGGGAGTAGATGGACTTGACTGTGGCTGTGTCTACAAAATTCTGTATGTTTTCAAGTTCTGAGGTTTAAAGATCGTGCTCGTAAGTGATTATAAAGAAATAGACGCAGATGAAAGCCAGAGGAATATGAGTCTTCATCTGATCTAATGACCTGCTTGGTTAGGCCATTTAGGCTTTCCATTGCATCTGACAGTTTCTGCTGCTGAGACAAAGTTTAGAAAGCAGCACTGATGGACGTGTGGTTATCATGACAGATCTTCTTACACTGTCTTCTTTAGTTTTTACTTATTTTTTGCAACCTCTTCTTTTCTTTCTTTACCCTGTTTCCTCTTTTCTGACTTCTCTCTGATGTTTTTCTTTTTCCTCCCCATCTTCCCTGCTTTGCCTGTGTGCACAGGATGGAGTTCACGATCTCCCACAGTGGAGGAAGAAGATGCTCTTCCTTGTGGTGTTCAAAGGAGTTAATCTAAAAGAGGCTTCCCAGCATGTTCACGCAACAGCATGTTGGTGATAAACAGGCTGCTGATCTGTTGTGGTCAAAGTTTGTCTCCATACTAGTAAGGTATGAGGGTAAGAATTATAAATTCTGCAGGTTGGCTTGGTGCTGAACTTCTTGCCCTTGCATTTTGCTATAAAAATACACAGTGCACTTTGCCTCTTCCCATTCCAGCTGCCTTACAAGCACTGAAGAGAAAAAAGAGATATGAGAAACAGTTGACTCAAATTGATGGGACACTTTCAACCATTGAGTTCCAGAGAGAGGCACTGGAGAATTCCCACACCAACACAGAAGTGCTCAAGAATATGGGCTATGCTGCACAAGCTATGAAAAAAGTACATGAAAATATGTAAGTGCTAATAGCTTTCAAGTTGAGCTTACTAACCACTTTCAAGCTATTTCATCACTGAAGAGTATTTTATCAAGTCAGACTGTTTTGACTTAATTTTTGGTTCAGGCATTTAATGTCAGGAATGCTATTGACGCTGTGTTGTTACATTTGGCAGAAAAATGTCTTTTCTTAACAGCTAGTCTCGAAGGAAGCTCGCTTAACTAGACAGATCCATGTGGTACCTGATTGGTTTTTTTTAAGCCTGCCTTGGCAGTGGAGACTGGCCTCTGCCCTTGGTTTTTTGGGAAGAAAACTTAGTTGAAGAAACTAAGTGGACATTTTTCCTCAAAGTCTGTAAGCTGGACTGTGTGATTCAAAGTACTAATTAGACCTGAATAAAGGAGAGGGATTTTTTTTTTTGTCTGTGTAGTATTTTTATATGTTCTATGTTGTTTCATGAGCTGTTTTCCTGCCTGAATAAACAGTTAAATGAGAAAGGTTGTTCTGGGAGAAGTAAACAGGAACTGAAACAGTAATGAAGTTAACAATAAGGGGAAGGTGTAAAATTGAGTATAGTCCTTGTTAAGTTCCCCCCAGTTTAACATCTTAAAAGATCCATCTGTAAAGATGCTGACTTTGGGAAAGAGATGGCATTTGCCCAGAGGATGTGACTCTTGGCTGGCAGAGGTATGAGAAGCACAGAGAGGGAGAGAGACACAAACTGCTGCAGTTAGACTTTTTTTACAATCCCAAAGTGGAAGAAATTTGACTGGCTGGAACACACGGAAGCTTGCCAGGAAACATTAAGGTGTAGGTGAAGGAAATTATTCCCTGTGAAGTCTGCTGTTTATATGCAGCCATGACATAAAAAGAAAATAGAGTCTGTTGATGTTTTTCTAAGTCTCTTTTGTAGGATTTGAATGAAGTATCTTTTAAAAATGTTTCTGTGTTATCTTGCCAGGGACTTGAACAAAATTGATGATTTGATGCAAGATATCACTGAACAGCAAGATGTTGCCCAGGAAATTTCAGATGCTATCTCAAACCGAGCCACTTTCGGTGATGAGTTTGATGAGGTTAGTACTTCAGGCCTGCGAGTTTTAGCTGTTAAATGACTCCATAGTTATTTTGTTGTTGTTTTCTGGTGGCTTGTTCTGGTGGTTTGTTTCTCAAAAGGTGTTGGAGTGAAATTCCTTGGTTCTAGCTTACCCCATCTAGGATGTTTTCCTACTTCTCATATATATATATGTGTGTGTGTGTGTATAAAAATATATATGCATATCTATTTATAAATATACATAACATAACTATACAATAAAAATATGAAAAATATTAAAATACTTCTATTTGTATATAAATTTTAAGAAAGACAAGTTTAACTGCACTCCTGTAGTTACTCTCATTTGTACCATGGGAGGAGGAGGTCACTAAAACATGTAATTTGTACTTCTACAAGTGGACACTGAAACATGTAATTTTTTGTGCTCCAAATAGACATCCGTTTGACTAAGTGCATATTCGTATGCCATGAACAGGCAGCTGTCCACAATCCTGAATATTTGGACCAGGTTTTTAAGGTCATTTTTGGTGCTGGAAGATGCAGGTGCTTTCCCTGTTTTCCAGATTTTCTGCAGAAGTAGATCCATTAGGTTGACCGGGGGGGAAGGGAGGTTTTGTTCAACAGTTATAATTTGTTGAGAACAGTAATGATTCTTTGTATTTTATTCCCATTATCTGCTTTTCTATTTTTCCACTTTGAATGTAAATAGACTTTTCAAGAAACATTTAATCATTACTGGCACAAGGAATGGGATTTGACCTGTGCAAACTGGGTTTCAAACAGCTGAAAAACATTGCCATCCTGAACAGCTATACAGTATAATTTACGTTTCCTCATTGCTTAAATTTTAGGAGTCTAGACTTAGTAAGCGTGTTGTAGATTGACCTGGAAGTTCTAAGAGATACTAGTCTAAGCTGATGGACACATTTCCTGTTCTGGGAGACTAAGCCACTGTCACATGGGGCATCATTTTATCAGCACATGCTTTTGTATTGGGGTCTCATGCTTGTAGGATTTGTCCAGTAACTGGGAAATTTGGTCTGGAGGACACTTCAGCTTGAGAGCACTGGACTCAGTGGATTAATTGCTGGGTTATGAGGTGATTTGTGTTGGAGGATGACATTTAATTTTGTTTTTTTGGAGGACATTTTGACCACACACGTGGATTTCCTCTTCATATGTGTGCCATGGGTGTAAGGAGATCATGGAAGCATGTAATTTCTATTGCTCCAGACAGACACAGAAACTTAAGGGTTATTTCTCCTTGGATTGACACAGTGTATGTCTTGAAAAGTGCAAAAAAGCTCTGTCCTGCCTAAGTAGGATGCTGACTGGGAGAGGTGATCCTTTCCTGGAGGCTTGCTTCTGATGTGAAATACACATATTCCAGTGGACAAAGTCTGGAACCTGAGAGTTCACATGGTATCTTCCCCCTGCTCTCTTTTTGGCCTAGGTTCAAGAGGAGAGAGGAGATTTGTTATAGCTATTGCAATACTCCACAGCCTAGTTCTAAAGCAGTTCCTGAGTTGTGGGAAATCTAAGTTAAATGTATGCTTGAGGACGAGAATAACTTGTCTCCCACTTAGAGATTCTTGCCACTACATTATTATGTTAAAGTTGGAGGAGTCATGATCATGGTTTTCTTTTCTTTTTTTAAAGAGAGCCTGTTGTGGCTGATACTACCTCTGAATTGTTTATGTGTTCAGCAGAGGTTGGTAAGGACTAGTTTGGTATTGGAGGGTGTTAGATGACCATCCAGAGGTCTTCAGAAATACCTGTTTCCATTGACTGTACAACAACTTGGACACTAACTTTTTAAAGAAGCTTGTATTTACAGCACTGCCTGAGGCACTTAAAGTGCAGACACATTTGCACTTCAGCTAAATGCGTAAGTTAGACCTGGGGCCCCAAACTTGCACATTTCTTTGAGAGATCAGCTGTCAATTGAACATCATCAGCTATAGACCCAATGCTGAAATTTATAGATGGTATCCTAGCATTTGCACTGTGAACTAGGTCAGGTAAGCAAACTAGCCTTTCTTTGGCCTTAAGATATAAAACCATGAGAAAGCAAGTCTGAGAAGGCCTGTAGTGACTATGTGGTTATCATTTTAACTTCCACATTGGTGATAAGTTAGGTATAAATGGGTAGGCAAAGCCCATTTCAATACCTATTACATCTGGCGTTGCTACAGCCATTTTTTCCCATTCTTTCTTTTTAAGCTATTTTATCAAAGTGGCAAAGGTCCATTTCTCTACAAATACGTAATATTTAGCTTCCTTTCTTTGAGAAAGTCCAGCCAACAAATAGGCTTTTTAAAAAAAGTGTATAGCCTTTTTTGTTTCTTTTTAATATACAAATGGTTTAGCTCATCTGTCCAAATCAGCTTTTGCAGCTAAAAGTCCAAGCATGTTGCATGCTTCAGGAGTGAATAACAGGGCCCAGAAGGACAGCTCTGATTCTAGCGCTCCTTTGAAATCATATGTAATCTGGACTTGTGTGATAGGGTTGAAGCATAATATTCAATGTCAGCCTACCATATAAACAGTGGAAACTGTTTGCCTTTAAAACAGAAGAAATTGCACATTAAAATTAGAATCTGTTAAAGACTACAGGCTCCAGGTTGGAAGCAAACCTGAGGATGGTATTGGGACTTTTTTTTCCTGTTTGCCTTTTTGATAAATATTACACTGCCATCAGTTTTCTTTCTAATTTTATTCCTTGTCCTGTTTCTAACTTCCATTATTATTCTTACAACTTTCAATAAGGTTTGTGGTTATCACCCACATTTAGTAAGAATCATACTTGTGATACGCTGTTTTTTCATATTTATTTTCAGGTGTAAACTGGGTTCTTTTGTTTCAGTAGAGTTTTGTTTTATGGTGGTTAAATGTGCCCTTGCCTGAGATCACTGTCAAGACAATGAAACTGAAAATAATGTTTTCCTTGAATTTAGGATGAGTTGATGGCAGAATTAGAAGAACTGGAGCAAGAAGAATTGAACAAGGGAATGAGAGATGTCAGGTTGCCAAGTGTTCCGTCCACATCACTGCCTTCTCGCCCTGGTAAACTGCCTGCTTGCCATTTTACATTTCTCATGATTAAGCCATGATGTGAGAAGGAGAGGAAGAGAGCATTTCAAATATATACTTAACTGTGGTTTAACTTTTAAAGTATTATAGATGCCTTTTCTTTTTTGTATCTGTTTATCAGAAAAAACAGAATGGTGTTTTGCTTTCCTGTATGAAAGAATTTAGCACAAATTCTCTGTAGATCTGGGGAGACAAACTCGGGGAACTTGACCTTGGGCATGTACTGATGCATCTCCTGAAATGGAGTGAGATTGGATGATGGCAGTACTTGTTTTTTTTCTTTTCTTTTGGCAATTACAACCTTAGTCTTTTTAAATTGGAGTCTGACCTAGATTCAAAATGTTTGCGTCACAAAGATCCAGCTTTGTAGGGTAGTGGTTTGATATTTACCACTGGTATTTTAATTAGAAATGAAGGAAGCAGCAGGAAGTACACATTAAAAGAAATACTGTCATTCCTTAGTTTGCTTTCTACAGAACAGGCTTATTCCTGGTATTAAGCGGTAGCCTTATTTTTCTGTAGTTCTGCCCTGTTCATTTTGAATTAAGCCAGAGACAGCTGACTTTTACTACACCTTAAACCATCTCCCTATTGTCCTTTACCAGCTGAAAGACTTGCTGTGTACTGATGTTAGTAAAACAGTGTAAATGTTTAATGGTGAGGACAGCACATACATTACACAGGTTGTTTATGGTGCATTCTGCTGCAGAACAGGTTACTTAGACCAGCTCAGCTCAGAGACTCTTACGTGTGTTTTGGCAGACAGCACTTAAATCCTGAGAGGCAGTTTTAAATGTTCAAACTGGGATTGTGGCCTCATCTGCTGAAGTCAGTTGCAGAACAGCTTGTAAAAAGAAAAAAAGGATTGTGGAGAACCCAGTGCAAATTGCAGTCTGGGCATTTATGACTTGTTCATACATCCTTTTCCAGATCCAGCTGCCCCAGTTGACAATTTTATTAAACCCAGGCCATCTCCATATTCTTCTCACTATCATAATTTGCTGCTTCATCTGTCTGTATGGCTGCTTCAGGCAAAATTAGCTGGTTACAGTTCTATAATTTAAGGCCTTGAAAAACCAGTTTATCTTTTCTGAAACTCCATGCTTACTGTTACACAGCAATAGTAAAATAAGAATTGTTAATGTTTCTCATTGGAGGTACATGTTACCCTCCTAATTTCATAGATGAAGAAACTGAGATGGAGCAAGTCACAGTGATCTTCCCCAGTTGCATTGTGAGTCAGGGGCGCTTTTAGAGTAGGGACTGGTCAACTGATGTCACCTGAACAAAGACAGTTCAGGATTTTCTTTCTTCCTTTTAACAAACAGCACCTCTCATTAGAGCAGGGTGAGACTGGACCTGCACATGCAGGGCTCTTCAGTGCTATTTGGAGAGGCAGCAGGATGTGCAGCCAGGCAGGGATCGGTCACTCTTGCCTGCTCAAGTGAGAGAACTGGCAGCATTCTTGGGGACCCTTTATGTGACAACTCTTAGAGGTTAAATGTATTTTCTGTGGGAGCCTTTCAGTAGGAGTTACCTCAGACCTATATTGTTAACCTCAGGGTTATGTTTGAGATTAACAATGGGAGCAAAGTAGTTGCATCCCTCACCAGTTTCATTACTGTATTACCTAGGTTTAGCTTGCTACTCAATAAATTAATCTGAGATCTTCAGACTGAGAAGCACTATGTAAGTCCTTGCTAACAAGTAAAATTATTCTGACTGTTACATTTAGTTGATGGTTATTGTTACTCTCTCTTTGCAGCATCAACCAGGAAGAGAGCAGAGGATGAAGATGAAATGAAGCAGCTTGCTGCCTGGGCTTCATAAGACCATGGTCTTTTTATAACAGTGAACATTATAGTGAAGATGTACAGAGCTGTAAAGCTGTTTTATAACTACTGATTTAGTGTGGTTTCATTTCATGCAGGCTATACTTTATGGCCAATCTTGCTAAGAATAGTGTTACTGCCGTATTACAAAACTAGTTTAAAATAAACAAATTAAAAATGCAATAGTTGCCAAAACCTCCAAGCATCAAACTTTTTTTCAGCCTTGGCCAGAGATTTGTTTTGTTATTAGTATCATTTTTTATTAGGTGATGTCGTACTATATCTGTCTGGTTTGTGAAACCTGTGTACCTCACACACACAGCTGGATTTGTTGCTGAAATGCGAAAGTTAAAGTCATTAAGGCCCTATCCTCGAGGGTTATTTGTTTCAGACTATTTGAATATTAGCAGAACAGCTTTATATATGTCCTGACTTGCAAGTTCCTTTGAGCCCAAGAGCTAATAGCCATTCATTTGGACATGGAGATTTAAACAGACTGCCTGGAGCAATTTATGGTGACCTAGATATTAAGAGGAGACTCTTATGTAGGTTTTTGAAGTGGGATAGGTATTTTTGGTTTAACTTTGGCCACAATATTCTATGTACTTCTATAGGTCGGGTTGGATTGTATTTTGAACTATTTCCTACTCAGTTAAAGAACAGTTTTACAGTGATTGGGGAAAATGAAATGTCCAAGTTCTTACAGATCTTTGCCAAACAAAACTGACTTCTGCTGACCCTGTCAAAAATCTGGAAGAGATTTGACCTTCCTTTGTTCTCCTCTACTGTGTCTTTCTAGGCTGAGTCTTTCCTTTGTATGATAATACCTATCTTCAAGGCAATTAGTAACACATTTTTAATTATACAGTTTTAAAATAATCTTAATTTCTGAGCATTTAGTTCTTTTCTCTTATTCAATTTCTGAACGGAAATAATACCAGCATATTGCATTCAAAATGCCTTTTTAACCCTGGTTAAAAGCTGATTCTGGATTAATTGTAAAGTTGGCGTGTTACTGTCCAACTGACAGCTTTATAGCTTGAGGAACAAATGCCACTCTGAGTGCTAAACTACTACATAGAGAAAATAGAGAAATCACTGTTCTAGTACAAAACAAGAATTAAATAGGCTGCTTTGTACTAACAAATTTTATTAAATGAAACTTAAGCTCTATGCTAGTAGTCTGCTGTCAATCACACGGAAATAGTAAAACACTGTGGAGTTCCAAGGGATGTGGTAAGCAGGGTGACATCAATCTAGGTTTCTTGTTTTCATATTAATTTAAATTTGCTGATGACTGAGCCACTTCGGATATAGTGGGAGATTTGGTTTCTGTAGATGTTGCAGTGGAAGGCTGACCCCTTCTCCTGTGGGCTTTAGGCTATAATGTTCTCGGTGTTCAGCTGCAATAGGCTTCAGCTTCTTAGATTTTAGGTTAAGCATAAGCTAATGTGTGTTTCTGGACATGGCATGCTGATGTGCTCAGAACTTTTCCACTTGACTTCATGGATGAAACCCCACATTTACAAACCCTGTGGAGAGATTCAGTTTTTCAGGACTTTTTTATTCTCTGTAGTGGAATTGCTTTTGGTTTGCATCCGTATGAAAGGACAATCAAGCTTTGCCACTTTACTTTGGATGCATTTCCTACTCAGAAAAAAACCAAGTATGTTAATTCTGTCCCAAGGTTTGGAGGTACCAGAAAAATTGTTCCTTTCTGCTGAGAGTGGAGAAAACCTGGAAATATGCAGGTTTAATTATTTATTTTTTTTTTTAACAAACAAAGCCACAAAAAACCCAATCTGCTTAAATTTAAAAATACATTTTGAACTCTCAGTAGGAAATCGAACACTAACAAAATGTTTCTCAGTTTTAATGCTTGCTGGTATTCAGAATGAGATGCCAGCTGAGAGCAGGCATGTTTAATAAAATGACAAATATTTGGAGTTACTTAGAATCCATTTGCTAATCCTTTTGGCTGGAATCCCGTTTTCAAGGTATGTAATCTATGCAAGTCTCTGAACTGGGGACAGAAGGTATTAATATACACTGATTGCACCACTGTGTGAGGCTGGCCTTGTGCCTGTGGACACATCTGATATTTCTAAATGTGAGGCCATACCAACATGGTCCTGTGCTTAGCTTGGAAAGGCTGGCTTCTAGCATCTTTTCTGGGTTGAATTAGTAGTTTTCCAATACTTGGCACTTCACGTAGCATTTGGTATATTTAAAGTGCTCTACAACATAGCCAAAATAGGTTTCTAAGCTTCCAGTTTGAAACTAAAGTGATTTTCAGTCTGCTTTGGAAAACGTGGACCTGCTGTTTTATGTAGGAACTTCGCATGTGAACACCCTACAAGAGCGTAGAAATCTAGGGAAGGTCTTCTCCTTTGCAAGCTAGCATCTGGCTGCCGACTTTCAGTGATGTTTTGGCCAAGTGTTGACCCTAGGAAGGTTCAAGTGTCTTCAGCTTATTGATTTCAGATCAGACACTTTAGGAACAAGATTTGCAAAGGGTGAAGAAAATAAACTGGTCATTCAGATGAGCTCCCATAAAAGCTTGTGTGTGGTGGCTGGTGGTTCTGGAGGAGAGGGTCACATTCCAGTTCATAGGCTAGGATATAAGCGGTTGGTGAAACTATACTCAGAGATACTGTAGTCATGTGCACACACCAAAATACAGTATGGACCTCCAGAACCAGAGTTGTTGACAGTGTTGTCTGGGAGGCGATAGGTGATGGGTTTTCTTCAAAAGCAGAGGGGCTCTTAATTCAGCTGAGGTGGTGGCTCTCTCCTTCATAAATTCAGATGACACTATGACAAATGGCTCTTCCTTCTTTGAACGTATGTTTCTCTTCGTGCCAAGATGGTATTTGTTTAGTATGTAAGCAGATGAGAATGAACAGCGTCAACGTGTTGCTGTAAATGTACTCTCTGTTAACTGGAACATATTTTACAAGGGGGCTGGCAGCAGATGGTGCACTGTAGCTGACTTCCTTTCTTGTTTCTCATCTATCTTGAGAAAGTTTTCTTCTCTGAACAGGCTTGGACATTTTTAATCTCAATATCTTTAAAAGGGGGGAAATGTATCAATAAAAAGTAAAAATAATATATATATGCTGTAAATAAGTATTTTGGTGTCATGTATGTGTTATATGATTGTATTAAATTTATTTTCCTATCAGGCAAGACTGTAAGTACTCTCCTTACACTGTCATCAGGATACAGTGCTCTTTAGAGGATATGAGGATATTATGAAATACTGTTTTAATGTATTAATCTTTCAGCATCAGGTTAGAATTCAGGAATTCTTCGAAGCTGAGTTGGTTTAAAAAAACAGCCAAACAGTAAAAAAATCCCAAACCAGCATATGCTGTGGTGTTTGGACTGCATTCCTTGACAATTAGCAGTTGTTTATCAAGCGGTTCTTTTATTTTAACATGTCCAAAATACCTACTTCACTTCACCACCCCCCAACCCATGATCTCTTCATTGTTTCATAAATGTACGTATTTCACTTTCCAGGCCCTAGCGGAAAGGAAGAATGGACAGGTCTTTTAAACATGAAAAATTACTATAGGCAAGGCTGAATTAAAATAATGCAGTTTTTCATGCAGCTCATTAGAATTCTAAAATAAATATGTGTGTGTATAGCATTTCATACTTGATGTACATGCACACATGTGTATATACTAGATGATCTTAAGGTCTTTTCCAACCCTAACTGTTCTATGATTCTATGATATGCACATGTATACAGTGTTGGAGCAGTGACTTAAGACCATCATTCATTATCTGATGTGGAAAGGGGTCAATGGCTTGGGCACTTCATCGTTACTGTTTTGTAGAGCTTAAAGCCTTCATCACAAAACCTCAAGGAACTGTTACAGTATGTGCACATGCGGCTGTGTGTACAGCTCTGGGGGGTGGGCAGGGATGGGGAGTGTTTCTGCTGAGAAAATCTCAGTTTTTCATGATGTAGAACCTAAATTATTATGCCACTTTTTTAGAAACATAAGGAGCAAGCTTTAGTCTCAAAAATGACTGAGCAGCAGAGACCAGCCTGAACATCTTAAGAAACGGCAAATACCAGGTGTCTAATCTCATAGCTGTCGTGTTTTCTCACGTTTGTCCCTGTTGCAGAGACCATTACAAGACCCACCACTGTAGCACCGTTCAGTCAGATGCGCACTGCACAGAAAACCTGCTCGGTTCGTGTGACTGGTCACTGTTTAAGTGGTTTATTGTTTTGTTATCAACATGTAATTACCTGGCCATCACTGAACTCTTGGGATCAATATCTGCAGTGCAACAGATGCAGTTATGAAATGTTAGTATGTGCCTAGAAATTTCTAAACACCCCTGTACAACTCGGATGGCACCATGGCCCCTGTGCTGCCCTGCTCCCCTCTCCTGCACGGTACAATCCTTTTGTGTAGGTTCAATTCCTGCTTTTCTAAGTATACAGGAAATGAGAGGGTTAGTGTACCGCTATGTTCACTTTATCATAGTGACCCTTGACGTTCGGGCACATTTCCTCAGGTAGGGAGGTAGGCCCGCGTAAGAGATAGGTATGCTGGTGTGTCAGAGGTGGAGTGCTAGTGTTAGGGGTAGGAAGTTTTTTCATAGAAGGTGTATGAGTTGGTCGTATCGGAATCGTGGATAGGAGGCCCGTACTCAGAGGAAGCTTGAAGAAAGGAGTAGTGTTTTTGTGGCAAGGATAATGGGAAAAAGTTCTGGTGTAGGGTTGAGTGCGCTTGGGTTTATGAATAAGAGGGTGGTTAATGTGTTCATTAGCATAATATTTGCATATCCGGCTAAGAAGAATAAGGCGAAAGGACCTGCAGCATATTCTACATTGAAGCCGGAGACTAGTTCAGATTCTCCTTCTGTAAGGTCGAATGGGGAGCGGTTTGTTTCGGCTAGCGTTGAGATGTATGCTTTTCTAAGCATATAGGAAATGAGAGGGTTAGTGTACCTCTATGTTCACTTTATCAT